TCTTGGTTTCCCTGGTTCATCTTGGGAACACTAGTTGGGCCTTGCGTCATGAGGTTGCCTGAAAAATCCTAAATAAATATTTATCAATACTCTTCAAAGTTTTCCGGAGGAATCACGATGTTCAAAAGCCCCAAATAGTAGCTACTTTATTATCTTTGGTATCTCAAAAATTCTTTGAAGGTACTGTTGGAGTTTACAACTATCTACAAAAAAATCACTAGATTAATCACTCCTGAATGTGTCTGTTATCATTAAGTACTATTAACTTATCTGACGATAAGTTCATCTAAGCTTGGATGATTCTTTAATTTATTGTTATCTTCAGGTTGGCATTATACGTGTTCTTTACGACATAGTCCATTTATAACTATTAGATGAACTTAAGTTTCACTGCTTAGTAATTTCCTGAAGTGTATCTTATTAACTATCACTTTGTCTCGTTCGTCAGAAAATTATTTACTAAATCGCCATTTTATTTATTATTTATTTGAACACAAATATTGCTACAAGAGGGCACCAAATATATATGCGCCACACAAAACAATGAGAAAAAAGAACAATAACGAACAGATTAGTGTAAGTTAGTGTAATAATAATAGTAATAATGGGGGGAAACGGAAAGCTACAATCAGAAGAAATCTTTCAGTTAAGGAAGATACAACCACTTTTTATGAAGGAAGTAAAAGAAGGCCACTGCCTTCTATTCTGATTCATATCTGATAACGTCTCTAGCCACTGTGTTGCACCATTTCTCGGACCTCAACCAGAGAGTCGTGTAGGACCAACAGAAGCCAGTCCCGTATACCTTCCTTTCATACCACGACATGTCATAAAACCGGGTGTATGAACCTGTACTTAGTAAAAAGATTTGTATTTTCTATAAGTATTTCTATGGTAACCGTTAATGTACGACTCGGTCCGTGTAAATAATCTGGACTACTGAATAACAACAAACGGCGACTAGATTCTTATTAATCCATATTATTCTTTAACATCCAAGCCTCTAAAATCTGAGGAATTAAATAAACCGAAGAACATATGTCCTACGTTCTTGAAAAAAATATTGAGGTGCTGAGAAGATTATGGATATTTGTAGAGCAATCAGTAGGAGTTGCTCAGAAAACCAGCCACTTATATTCTGAACATTACTGAGTCAAAATTCAAGCCTTTTCTGTGTAGCTTAAAGTCTATTTAAATATATTCCATTCGAAACAAGAGACTTTCCAAGAACACATTTCACTATTAATAATTTATTTATTCATTTGAACACATAAATGTCGGTACAAGCGGGCACCAGATACATATGCGCCACACTATAATAATGAAAATGGGAAGAGATAAAGGATGTAAGGTGCGTATACAAAGAAAAAAGAACAATAACGACCACAAATCGGTATACGGTAATGAAATAGTAGCAATAATACGGGAAATAGAAAGGTACAACCAGGAAGAATTCTTTCAGTTAAAGAAGTTACGGTCAATTTTTATGAATAAAGTAAAATAAGGTTACAACAGGATCACGTCTCTAACCACCGTGTAGCACCATCTCTCAGACCCCAACCAGGGAGTCGTAAAGGACAAACAGAAGCCAGTCCTTTGCAGCTTTCTTTCATACCACGACACCATGTCATACACTGACCACTTCTCCGCATTTTCTGACCAGTCCCAGTGTCGTCAGTTAATGCACAATGTGTAATTCGCTGATACGACACTCGAAGAACATATCCAGGCCACCGAAGTCTGTGTTTCAAGATAGTGACACTGGTTGGATTATCGTCTCTGTGCCCGAACACATGATGCTGAATTTCTGCATTACTAACATGGTGTTGCCACTGGCTGTCAGAAATCCTTCGGAGACAGCGATGATCGAACACAGAGAGTAGTCTATCATCCTCAACTCGGAGAGGCCAGATTTCACATGCACAGAGCAGAACGGCTCTCACCGATGCGTTGTAGATCCGAGCATTTACAGCCAGACCAACATCACGAAGGCGCCAAAGATGGACCAGATTGGCATAAGCTGCTCACACCCAGACTTCTTTATGCCAGTGGCTCGGATGAGTTGGAAGAGCTTCCGGTAGTTACCAGATGCAGGTGCTGCTTCCAACTCATTAGCACGCTACGACCACCAGGTTTCTCGGTCCTTACGCAAGCTTTGCTCAATTTCATTACGTAACAATCGTCGTTTCTTGTCAAACTCAGGGTTACCCGGAGTAGACCGACGGGCTTCAATGAGTTGTAAGGAGCCTGAAGAAACCCAGTGCTTATAAGCTGGACGTTTCGCAAAACCTCAAGCGGCTTTACTTGCCATTTTCATGGTGTCGTGCTGTTGAAACCAATGCTCATCTATGCTTTTCAGTGGAATGGTAGCTAGCCTAGAGGCTAGCTCGGTTTGATACTTACTTGCAACAGAAGTTGCAACCAACTTGCTGACATCAATCCTTTGGTGGCGGTCACTTTGTTGTCCACTGAAAAGTAAGGCAAGATTGGCGCAGACCAAGGCATGGTCAGAGTCCAGATAGGTACTCCAAAAGAAGCGGCAGTCTTGTACATAACTACACCAGCGGTAGCTGATCGCGATGTGATTAATCTGAGTCCAGGCTTGAGATGCAGAGGGAGGACGCCAGGTGGCACATCAGCGATGACTGTGCCGAAAGTTAGTGCTAGCCAGAAACAGGTTGTGGTCTGTGCTCAGTTGCAGTAGACGGTCCCCGTTATCTGTCCTGCGACTAACAAGTCCCCATCGGCCACCTAAACGATTCTCTTCTGTGCGTAGACGCCCGACCTGAGCATTCAAGTCTCCGGCTAGTACTACAATATCTGTCGAACGCACTTTCTTGAGAAGAACAGTTAACTGGTGGTAGAATTCATCCCTGATTGCATCCGGGCTGCAATCTGTCGGGGCATAGGCGGAGATGACGAAAAGACATCGTTTCTCACGCCGATTTCTTCTCACTTTGATGGAACTCTCTAATCTAACAGCACATAACCGACTGTTAATGGGGATCCAATCGATTAGTGCTGCTTCAGCTCTAGCGCTTAGTGCGACACCAACGCCAGCAAGACCAGACGAAGATGCCACAGGGTCCCCGGATAAGCGCACGTAAGACAAGCTTTTGAAGCGTCAGATGGAGTAGTACTTCACCAGAGTCTTGAATACGGGTTTCGCATAGACAACAAACGTCGATATTAAGACTTTTCAAAGACATAGCCAACCCTATCTGTTGTCCGACCTGCATAAGTGTGTGAACGTTGAAGGCAGCTAGTTTGAGTGGTGCATGTGGTTTCAGAAAAACTGCTTCAGTATTCGTATTTGGTGGTAACATACAATTTTCAACCGGACAGTGACTCGAGAACGTTTAGATAGTACCGAGTTTCCACCATAGGCGAGCTGCTGTATAAGTCGAAAAAATAAGTATAGACAGTAGGAATAAAAGAGAGTCAGTCAGTCAGTAACAACGTAGAACTTAGTACGTACGTACATCAGTTCGAGTTGCCATACCACATTAGCACAGAGATGCAGTGGTCGATTCAAATCCCGTAGTGGTAGAGGTAGCAAGAGTATAAGCAGTAATCGGGAAGATTAGGATTTGGAGATGTTATTTAACAAGTATAATCCAGTGAAATAAATTTGGAAAGAGGAAAAAAAAGGGGCATGAAGAATTCAGATAATTAGAATTTGGGAGAACATAGAGAGTGGATGCACCTGCGCCATTGCAATCGATTTTGAGCCATGTCATTCAGGGTCTCTAACCATCGGTTGCTATCATCTCGCGGTCCCCAACCAGGTAGTCTACACCTACCAACATGACTCAGTCCACTTGTCAGTGACTTCATGGATTTGTGCCATGTTTTGGTCTGGCCGCCCCTAGCTTTCTTCCAACCTACTCTCATACCACTGAACATCGCACGTCGAGGCAGTCGGTCGTTGGGCATACGTAACACGTGTCCCAGCCATCTCAACTGATGAAGTTTCACTACTTCATCAATTGATTTGCCATCCTTACCTAGTACCCGTTTCCTAACAACTGCGTTACTTACTCGGTGGTCCCAGGATATACGAGCAATACATCGAAGACACCTGTGATCAAATACTAGTAACCTACGAATATCCTCTACTCTTACCGGCCATGTTTCACAGCCATAAAGTAGGACGGAACGAACTGCTGTGCCGTAAACACGTCCTTTGGTTGGTAGACGGATATCTCGCCTACGCCATAAATGACGCAAGTTGGCAAAAGCTAGTCGAGCCTTCTGTATCCGTGCTGAGATTTCGTCACACACCAGGCCACAAGGGCTGATGAGACTTCCAAGATAAGTGAAGCGGTCGACACACTCAACTACTTCACTCCCTATCACTAGTTCGGGTGTCGATGTAACTCAATCCTGAAGCAACATTTTGCATTTCGAGGGAGAGAATCGCATCCCGAACATGCTTGCATTGTTGCTTAGAGTGGTCAGAAGACTCTGCATTTTGTCAGCGTCTTCACCAAATAGAACTATGTCATCTGCATATTCTAGGTCAACAAGTGAACCTCCCGGTAGAAGTTCAACCCCCGGAAATTTAGATGAGGACAGTGTTATCTCTAAAAGTACGTCGACCACAAAGTTGAACAAGAATGGGGAGAGTGGACAGCCCTGACGAACACCACTTGAGGTAATCAATTCTGATGACAGTTCGCCATAAGCTCTCACTCTACCAGATGTGTTCGAGTAGAGAGCCTGAATAAGGTTAATGTACTTCTTCGGTACTCCTTTCAGTGACAAACACTGCCATAGAACCTCACGGTCAACAGAGTCAAATGCCGCCTTAAGATCGAGAAATACTACCATTGTGTGGGGTCTAAACGTGTGTCTGTGTTCTAGAACCTGACGTAGTGTGAATATCTGATCTATACAACCACGTCCAGGTCGAAAACCGGCCTGGTTTTCTCTAGTTTGCTCTTCACGAGCTTTGATTAGGCGTCGAAGTATTATTGAAGCTAATATTTTAGACACTATATTAGTCAAACTGATTCCTCTGTGATTGTCACAAGAGGACTTTTGTCCTTTCTTATAGACTGGCACAATCAGTGATTGAGACCAGTCAGATGGGATTACGTCCAGTTCCCAAATTCTACCTAAGACCTCGGTTAATCTCATTGCTAATACTGGACCACCATCCTTAAAAATCTCAGGAGTAAACCTGTCAGGGCCTGCTGCTCTCCCTCGTTTCAGATTTCCTATGGCTTTTTCAACTTCATAAAGAGACGGAGGACTTACATTAACTTGCCATTCAGGTTGACTGGAGATCGTGGGAAACCGAAGTGTGGCTGAAGGCCAGTTGAACTGATCCCTAAAGTGTTCTGCCCATCGATCCAATCTCCTGGATTGAGAATGAATAATATGTCCATCTTTCTCTGAGATTGTTTCGCTAACAGTCGGGTTCCTAATTCCGGTTTCCTTAACGAGTCTAAACAATTGTCTGCTATTACCTATTGCCGTTGCCTTTTCCATCTCTCTTGCTTTCGCTACCCACCACTGTTCGCGATCATTGCGTAGACTTCTTGTCAGTTTGCGCTTAAGCTGACTCCGCTCTTCACTATATTCAGAGCCAGGTGGAATGAGTTTCCGAGCATCTATCAGTGCGATAGATGCTGCTGAGATCCAGTGTTGCTCCCTAATCTTGTGGTTTACCTTACTAACAGATATCACTGCTGTTTCCACAGCTTTTCGGATATCATTCCATGCTGCCTCGGGGTGGGCATCACATACATGGCTGCCTAACTGTTTTCCTAGTTGTTCCTGAAATATACTCTTAGCTTGACTATCATTAAGTAGGGCCCTAAGAGGTTTCCTTGCAGCGTCTTTCCTACGTCCAGTAAGACGCAAGCAAATACGCGCTCGTACTAGAGCATGATCTGAATCTAAGCATGTGCTCCAGAATGAGCGACAGTCTTCTATCGAGCCCCTCCATCGGTGGCTGATGGCGATGTGATCTATTTGGGTCGAACGTTTGGACGAATTAGGGGGTCGCCATGTTAAAAGACGTTTTTCCTTATGCTTAAAGTTAGTATTTGCAAGGAACAGGCGGTTATCTGAGCATAGCTGCAACAGACGGTCGCCGTTATCTGTTCTTTGAGCCACGACACCATAAGATCCACCTAGGTGTCTTTCCCTATCGCTTAGTTTACCTACTTGAGCATTAAAGTCACCGGCCACTATTACTACATCCGAGCGCTTAGCTTTTCGGAGAAGGTCCGAAAGCTTTCTGTAAAACTCATCTTTTACATCATCTGCGCTGCAGTCAGTGGGAGAATACGCAGAGACGACGAAGAGGCAACGACGAGTGTCCATATCTTTCCGGATTCTTACTGTTCCGTTCAGTCGGACAGCGCACAAACGACTGTCTACTGGGATCCACTCTAAGAGAGCTAGTTCTGCCCTAGGACTCAATGCTATACCTACGCCGGCGAGGCCACGGGAAGCAGAATCAGGGCTTCCAGATACACGAAGCGTAAATCGAGTCGGTTCTTTATTTTGGCATGGTGAGGTCAAATGAATGATGCTACTTGGATCCTGTATGCGCGTTTCGGAGACGCAACACACATCGATGGCGTAAGATTCTAAAGTCCTAGCTAAGGAAGCCTGCTGTCCTATTTGGCACAGTGTTCGTACGTTAAAAGCTCCTACGTGTAGTTTAGAGCGTGGTTTCAGGAGACCAGGAATAGCGTTCCACGTACTCGAATCGTTTGCCCTAGCGGTGCGAGGTGATAAAGAGACGTGAGGAGGGTTAGTCATGGAGATAAGAGAGGTATTAGGTGTAGGAAGGATTTGAATGTGACCAACTTGGTCTCGCGTGCTGTTGCGGGTATGAGGGCTGATGTCACTTCCCGGCTGCCCACACCGTGGAAGGGTATTTCTTGAGGAACCTGAAAAGGAAATTGGATTAGTGTTGGTCTTAACGACCTGGGAGCGTGACCGGAGAGCCCAAGGGACAACTGCTTGAGGCCGGTCGCGCACGGCTTTTTTGTAGAAGGTTTTTGACGTGTTAGCCCCGTTCTTCAGATGGCCTTACCGCCGGAGACGGAAATCCGTGAGGTAAGGTGAGGTGTGACATTTTTAGGGTCGACCTTTTCTAACCCCACCCCTCCTTGTGGGAAGGCAGCATCGCTGTCATGCTGATTGTCCGAAGGAAACACCTTACTGCTGTCACACCCCTCTACAGTCAGCAGTACGACTTCGCCCTCAGACCTTGAGTTGCTGCTTTTAGTCTTACCGTTTTCCAATCGACCTGCCTGGCATGGTAGAACCTACAGGAACATATGTTCCAGCCAATATAGCTCGGATGGGTCATCACGATAGGCAAGCCCGACCACCACGTCAAGGTAGCAGCTTCGGTCGGGGGAATAAAAGAGAGTGGATATATGACGTGGTAAATAATAATAATGTGAATTGTTTGACTGTCAATTGAGGCCTGAATAGAATTTTCAGTAAATATAATCATTTTCACCTTCATTTTATTTGTGTGTGGGCCTTGATACTGCCCGGATGCCCAGACCGAAGTAGGTGGTTTTCTTGGGGGGCCACTCCCCGAGCCTTTGACCTAGAGGTCTAACCCACAAGGCAGTGGAGCATCGTGAAGAGATGCAGTCCCTTGGTAGCCGGTGACCAACGATTGGTTCATCACATACACTATTTCTTCCCCCAGGATACTGGAGCCCATGTGCATCATTGGTTTGGGATCCGGTTAAAGTATTGGACATTCACTTTTCGTTTTCTCATTTTCGTAAACGACACCCCATTGTAAGAACGTAGTGAGTAGGACTTTCTGGCAGTAGCTGTCTATGCGAGTCCATGTGAAAGCATTTGTAGAGATAACGCGATCTCTCTCCACCTTCGGTAGTACCAGGATTTCGGGGGCCAATTGAATCGTTAAAGATAGTGAAGTTACAAGCTTTATTTGGTATAGAGTACGTTATGTCGTTGCAATAAAGCTGGACATTCCATCAAGTTTAAAACAGGGTTACCCATCACTTTGTCGAAGAGTTGAAGGTAGGTTGTTTTATTGATATTCTATTAATGAATAGAAGGTCTTGATGCAGTTTTCCGTGGTATTCGTTGTCTGGTTTAAGATGTATTTACCCATCTGTAACATTTGTTTTTATTCACATACTTTTATTAGGTTTTTCTATTGAGTTGTCTTTACTGAAATGCGCTTTATGATTTACATTTGTTTCAGAGGTTACGTTATTTTGAATTGGAAGTATTGACGCGCATTTAACTTTTGCTGTGTTTGCAATCAATGGTTGAAATAAGAGATTTACCTCAGGATTTATTTTATCAAATTTGCTCTTATTTGCGGATTAACGATCTTATTGCACTATGTTCTGTGTGTGCACAATTTTGTCACTGGTTACATCGGCAGTCGTATTGGAAATGGCGCTCGCAAAGTCTTTGGAATGGAACTTATCCCTGTTTACCAGGTTATTTGGTTTGTGTATTCTGATTTGTACCAAATGTAGAGAAGATCATAGACTGGGCATCGGCAAGTTTTGAACGAGAGAAGTGCTGTATAAACTTCGGGGAAAATTCAGTTGATTGCATTCGCCTATCCAAGTTGAGCGTGGTCAGCCACGGGATAGACGCTTTACATATTCCCCTGGTATCCATTGAAATTTTTTTGATAATCTTAATTCCAGAAACATCCAGATTTACTTATAATGGGTGATAGAGGTCGAGTGGTGTCAATATTTTCATTCAATACTGGACTGTTTTCTAATTCATGGCTTCCTGTATTCACTGAATATCATAGTCATTCTGTAAGTTTTTTCAAGCAGTCATTATTTTGATTAATAATTTTATATGATTTAAGATACCTTACACAATCCAACAACTATTTAAAATATAAAATATTAGCTTTATTCTCTTCATGCGACTGAATAATTTAACGAGGAGGCACATACACTGCTAAGCACTTGTAAATATTATTCGATGTTTGATAGTTGAGTAAACTTCGTAGGAAAACACAGGTATATATATATTTTTTACGTTGTCTTTAGTATGTGTTCAGAAAGTATAATTTAGTATTTTTTTAAATCATCTGTAGTAGTTAATTATGAAGAGACTTAGACCAAAGATTTGAGAATAATAACATAACTTCATTTCATTTCGTCAGCTTTTTACAACGTGTAATATTTACCACTGATCCACAAACACACTGTTCCCTTGAACCCTATTTTGTCAATGATCGATTCGCCGTTTCATAAAGTTGTATGCTGACTAGCAGAGAAGTTAAAGCTAAAAGCAAATACATTAAAATATTCATCAGAATTTACTGACAGGCTAAATCACGCAAAAGTTTCTGGTAAGTCGATGGTTGCTTTTTACATAACATACTTGTTCACCAAAATATCACGTCTTAAAACCACTAACGTAATTGGCCAGCATTCTGAGCTACCGTTACCGGTGTCAATTCAAATGATTGCTAAATATATACACAAAAGGCGTTCAAATTTAGTTTAACAACACTATGTACCGTCAAAATGACGGTGTTGCAATGAGAATTTCAATTGTGGTAGATATTTTTTGGGCTATCTTGTAAACACAGGACTTGAAAAAGTGGTGAGTACAATGACGGAATACTCGCGATATGTTAATAACAGGTTCATTGTTCGTGATTCTTCTGTTAGAACTTTTTAATGAGGCTCATCACAACAGATGACTTTCTACGAAGCTCAAAAAGAACGACGTGCTTCACCTTCTTAGCATTATCATACTATAGACTGCAGGCGAGACAGTTTAATATTCGGTCTATCGAAAAAGTACTTGGAATGGTCTATACTTGAATTCTGATAGTTTATGTCCAATCCGTTACAAAAATGCAGAATACTTTTATAGAGTAGAAATAATATGTGTCACTGACAAACTGGAAGAAGAATTGGTTAACATCGAAAAGTGTCTCGAAGATAACTTGTATCCGTAGAAATTCATTGATAAATATTAAAAAAAGCTAGACAAGTTGGATGTTGCTATAGTCAATAAAAAACCTTTGTTTACTCATCTCAACTTGAAAGGTGATGACGTTGCAAGCACAACCAGCAGAAGGCATAACGCTTCATTAGTCAGAACCTGCCCTGCAACCAAATTTCGTCCTGTATAAAATAACTTGCTCAGTAATTCAGTCTAAGGTCGACAAATACTCCATCGATTCTGTATATAAACGTACAGCTACATTGGCTAGACAGAATGGAGAGAATATCGCTAAAGTTTTTGGGAATTGTTTCTAAAAGCCTTCGACCAAGAGGGAATATGTTGAGTAGCGCAATCACCAAGCATCTCTTGGACATAAAGTTGATACCTTGAAATTTTCCAAGGTATTTAATAAACAGCCAAGCTCCAGCCTTCCAAAGTCTTCTGGGAGAATCGCTGCTAGGAGTAAAAAACCTGATTTATGTGTTTAGAAGGGCACGATTATTAATCTTTGTCTGCCTTGTTGATACAAACATCACTTCTTTATCACATAAAATATTTTTAAAATCTCAATTGATTATATCATTCTTTCTCTTTCTAACCCTCTTCTAGATCAGTAGTTTCATTTAAACATTTGAGCTTTACTCAATTTATTTTCACTTTTTATTAGTGTCCGATCATTGTGTAATAACTTTTCTCTAGCTCTTCAGTCTTTTGTTATTATAAACGTTGTAGAGTGCCCTTCCACATAAGATATATATTTGTTTTTTATATAATCTAAGTTTTACATCCTTACTATTGTATACTGATGTGTGTTCAAAACTTCCAACCAAGCTCATATACATAATTTCAATACATTTTGTAATTATGATTTGTGAACACTATAGGTTGTAAGCAGTTGACGAAAATCTAACGAGATAAAATAAATTTATGTTCTGTTCAAATCTTTGTTCTTGGTCTCTTCAAGATGATAAAGAAAAGCATGTGGTTAATTTCCTCGAATACAATGGTTTTTATTTTAATAATAACTGATATCATCCACATTAAGTTCGTTTTAATCATGTAAAAACAGAAATTTCGTTTATAGTTACTTTGTAGCTTTAAAAATTCACATGGCTTTAGTTATCTTGTTAGCGGTCTGCACTCTATAAGGTTCTTCCACCAAACATTTAAATGTAGCAATGGATGAAGTAGCTATTTATTTTGCAATGGACGCAGAAGAACCACACCAAGAAGACCCATTAGAATTGGACTCAGTTACGAGAAAGCTAAAAGTAGAATCCAGGAACAACTGAGGTGACACTTAGGTAGTCCTGAAAACGAGGCTGTCCCAGATGTTGCTTAGGAAGATATACAAAGAGCTGTGAAAACAACAGCAACATCTATTAGTGATTTAAACCAAAGGGTTATGGAAAACCAATTAATTCCTGCTAGGTTTACTGCACTGATAAATTCTCGTAAACTCATCCCGTCAGGCTCTGAAGACAATGAAGAATGAGAACAAATCAGATCTAGGTTAACCAAAAGTCTAAGGAACGACCGTGAGCAGTGGTGGGTAACGAAATCAAAAAGATGGAATAGGCAGAGGCTGTAGGTAACACGAGACAGCTCTTCAGACTAATAAAAGAAACTGGGATTAAGAAGTCATATGTAAGTGAGACGATCTCGAAAAAAGACGACACTCTTATCTGCTCCCAGCCCACACATTTAGAATGGTAGGCGGAACACTAAGAAACAATTCAACTGGTCCTCAGCTACTCTGTGAATCGACTCACCATTCCCAGACAGTGTGAATGGAATATTGAAGTAGGTCCCCCAAATCTAGATGAAGTTCAAAAGGCTATAGCTAATCTGAAACGAGGAAGAGTAGTTGGTCCAGATGGATTGACTCCACAGGTCTTTAAGTGTGGTGGTCCAATTTTAGCGATTAGGTTGAGTAATATTTTAGCTAAAATCTGGGAGTTGGACGTAATCCCATCTGACTGATTGCAATCACTTATCGTCCCAATATATAAGAGAGGGTTAAAATCATCCTGTGATAACCATAGAGGGATTTAATTAACTAATATAGCATCTAAAATACTAGCCTCGATAATTATCGGGCGCCTAGCTAAGACTCGTGAACTGCAAACACGAGAGAATCAAGCTGGCTTCAGACATGGTCGTGGCTGCATCGACCACATATTCACCATTCGTCAGGTTTGAGAACACAGGCATGCTTATCGGCGTCCGACAATGGTGGTCTTTCTTGACTTAAAAGCAGCATTTGACTCTGTTGACCGAGAGGTTCTGTGGCAGTGTGTGTCATTGAAAGGTGAACTTCAGAAGTACGTAAACCCTGTGAAGGCTCTTTACTCGAACATTGCTAGTCTAGTCAGAGCTTATGGTGAAATGTCATCTGATTTTTCAACCCCAAGTGGTGTCCGTCAAGGTTGTCCACTATCTCCATTTTTGTTCAACTTCATCATAGATCTACTGGTGAGAATAACATTCTCGTCGACTTTCTCGGGTATTGATCTCCTACCAGGAGATCCGTTTATCGATTTAGAATACGCAATGATATAGTCCTGTTTGGTGAAGACGCTGATAAAATGCACAGGATGTTTGTGATGCGTTTCTCTCGCCCTAATTGCGAATTGTTGCTTCAGGACTGGTTCGCGTCAACACTTGAACTAAGGATAGGGAGTGAAGTAGTCGAACGCGTTGACAACTTCACTTATCTTGAAAGTCTGATCAGCCGTAATGGGTTGATGTCCGACGAAATCTCTGCACGGATTCGAAAAGATCGTTTGGCTTTTGCCAATTTACGTCACCTATGGCAAAGGCGAAATATCCGTCTCTCAATTAAGGGACGAGTATACTACGCAACAGTTCGATCTGTTCTTCTTTACGGCTGCGAATCGCGACCATTGAGAGTAGAAGATACTCGTAAGCTACTAGTATTTGACCACAGATGTCTTAGAAATATTGCTGGCATCTGCTGGGCTCACCGGGTAAGTAATAGTGAGGTTAAACGTAGGGTATTGGGGAATGATGGTAAATCAGTTGATGAGGTTGTGAATCTTCATCGACTGAGGTGAAGACTATTTGGTTGATGTCCGTGCGAATATCGTAACCAGCGGTTGGAGACTGTGGGTGACATGGCTCAGAATTGATCACAATGGCGTCGGTTTATACAATCTTTGTCTTCCCTTAAACTAAGAGATTAAAATCGCTTCATATCTTTCTACGTACTAATATATATATATATATATATATATATATATATATATATATATATATATATATATATATATATATATATATATATATCACTACCATTGAAGTAAGTACTATTAATCCAGTGTGGCAACTTGGACCGATGGATATATGTGCCTGGTCCTACATTGTAGCTGATTGATTGACTACTCAACATAAACAAATTCAGCATTTAATTTGTATTGATCACAGAGATATACATCCATACATGCTAAGTCTATTCAAAAAGGGGATCGAACTAGTGGTTGAGAGAATTCATCATATCCACAATCCTTTACCAAAAGTTGAAAAATTTCATATCCTGGATATTTTAATATTTGTAGTCTATCTGTATATGTGTGTATACATATATGTCTATCTATTTATTTATCTAATATTTCAACCTTGGTTTCCTCTACTGTTTCTTTCCTCTACTCGAATCTCCCACATATTCTACAGAAGTTCATTGTTTATGCTGGTACTTGTTTGGGCTTAGGATCTCTTAGCATGTTTAAGTACTTAATTCTGTATTCCTTTCTCAGCTGTTCTCTTTAGTGGTTTCATTTTCCTCTTATGCATTTTGTAAGACTTCTAACATTTTTTTGACAACTAT